AAAAAAAAGAGGTTCGCAAATTATCGTGTAATAGCGGCGGGCCATGCAATACTACGTATGTGCACTGATCACATTCATTCTGATTATCTTTGCCATGGACAACTCATCAAAGTCGTTGATTCAATTTGCTCGGTCAAGATAATTAGTTTGACCTGAATCACTCTCGCTAAAGAGCTAGATTGCGCATACGCAATGTGAGCTCGAAATACATGTATTTATCTAGCAGCTTTTCTGTGTTTATCTTATTTCTGTCTTGTGGTTGCTTAGCCAAAAAGAACAAGCTTCTGGGCCTTATTGTCGACCATCAACATAAGTGCCCGGCTAGCTCAGTCGGTAGAGCATGAGACTCTTAATCTCAGGGTCGTGGGTTCGAGCCCCACGTTGGGCGAAATCAAATTTTTTGTTATAATTAATTTAGTTATTTAATTTTGGTTTTTTATTGAACTTAAATTGCTTTTTTAAGATAGCCTATATCTCGTGCTGAAAAATAAATAAATGTCTTTCAAAACGTTAGTTATTAGGGTTTTTCTTTAATGTATTTTTTGTTTAATTAAATTCAAATTATTTTTCATTAAATTCAAGTTTTTCAAAAAAATTTGTTTCGATCCTGCCAGGAGTCGAACCTGGAATCTTCTGATCCGTAGTCAGACGCGTTATCCATTGCGCCACAGGACCGGTTGACAAGCTAGCGGCTTTTGTGCTGTTATTATCCGCTGGCTGCTTAGAATATTCTTTATCTTTTTTACGTTTGCTTTGTTATTTCCATTCGTTGAGAAGATGAACAGGTCTTTTAAATACCCTCGTTTTGCACGCGATCCCTAATTGGGCTATAACATTCTTGTTGTATTCTAGATCATATCTTAAGATTTTGAGTAAAGTAAAGCTGTAAAATATGCATACTTATTAAATTTGTTCGTTTGTATGGCACTTAATTTTAAATATTTGGGGTTTTATAGATTGGCTTGTTTCTTTTGCAAAAACACAGCAGCAAAGAATAATAAAACACACAAATTTACTGGCATAGACAGGCATACCGAGAGAATGGCAAATATTTACTCAACAATAGCAACAAATAAAAAAGTTCGTAAAATATATCAACAAAAAGCGAAAAAAAATAAAAACGATGGCAACACGTTTTTGCGCTTCACAAAACAAGACACAATGACGATGATTATGATAAAGGCGTGTGTGTGTGGGGGGGCCTTGCGGGGCGTGTCACTGCTGTATCCAACACTCACGTACAGGGGGCGGCGAAAGGAGGGAGTGGCAGGCGCAGGGCATACACAGTCACACCAGCTACCAGCCACAACAACGATTCGGCAATACAAAGGCAACATGAAATTTTGCCAAAAAAAAAGACGAAATAAAAGTAAAAACAAAATGGCCGACGTCGGCTGCAATTTTGTATATAGAAATTTTCGTCTGGCTTTCAAGGGAAAGGGTGGGGAGGGGGGCTTAAGAGCGAGATGGAAGCACGTCTGAATGTGCGGGGCATTTAAATGAAATTAGAATGGGAGTCATGAACACTTACTGGCCCTCTCATTGCCTCATCCCCTGCGAGACTGTCCGTCTGTGTGTGTGTGTGTGTGTATCTTTTCGCTTTCGCATGACACAGATACACAACGTTCGCAACCAGAGAACAAAACGTAGACGACACTTGATAGCGACGTCTCTAGCCCTGACCCTAATTTTTGGGTAAACAAACATTTCGTTAGGGTCCCCGCCTGGGGATCGCTGGCCCAGTTCTTGACATATTTGTAAAGCCAGGTACCTAATCTGATCTAATCTTGAGGTGCCTTTTTATAAACGATCAGCAAGGTGTCAATGATCTTCTAAAATCCAAGGCACAATGACCCATTTATATTGTTCTTTGAAATATTTTGCCTTTTATTTTGACACATTTTTAAACTGCAGATAATTCGTAAGAAATATAATTTTATACTGTCATTATTTATCAACCTCAGACAAATTATTTGTACAAAAATTATATGTTTATGAATTTGTATGCTATCTTTTGAATAAAGAGAAGGTTTTAAATAAATACAAATATGTTTAATATTTTGGAAAAAACGACTTTTTCCATTTTGTTTTTTATTTTTCATTTAGTTTTTGAGATATGTAAATAATAAATTTAATGAAAATGTTTCTGATATCCCTGAATCCTTTTTTTATTGAAATGTTATTGAACTTTTTGTGATCAAATTGAATTTTTTATTGTTGTATTGGTTTTATATTATTTTCCACTTTTTGATTGCGGTTGATTTATTTGTTTTAGTTTTTTTTTGAGATCTTGGCGATTGATCCAAAAGTTAAAACAGGTTTGAGCCAGAAATGTGATGCTGTAAATATTTTTTGTGTATTGGATTAATATTAATTGAAGCTTAGCCTTCAAAAATAAATTTGTGAATTATATGCGCTATACTTTAATTAATATTAATGTCAATAGGTAAATTCCATGAGTGTCATTCTTATAGTTTAGTTTTAAAGCTGATAATTGTGTGTCTAACGAGTGTTTATTGAAAAATTTCACTTATAAAAAACCAATTATTCTAAAGTTTATAGCTCAGCATGCGGATAAGTTTTTCACATTCCAATTTAACCTACTGTTTGACGGTAAACAAACAAATATCAAATGCATAAATGAGGGCATTATCTCAAGGTCGTTCCCAATTGTATTCGGCGCGGTCTATCTGTTCACACACCCTCGCACTCGTTTTTGCTTTGGCTCCCACTTTCGTTTTCGCTTTTGTTTGATTTTTTCTATTTGCTATTTTTTTGGCAAATAACCTTGATAAAACGTAAACTATTTTTATCAGTGAGAGTGGAATGGGGCCAATGGCAGAGCAATTTCTATTTGGGGTTAGTGTGCCAATTAACGATTAGATTATTCGGCCGCTCCCTCACTGCTCCACGCCCAAGTTGTGGGTTAATGTGCGAAATTATTTGCGGTTGGCGGATTCTAACTCTTCGCCTGAGCGGTAAACAAATTAGCTATGCAAATGTCAGGCGATGCTGGTCAAGTGTAAAGTGCCACGCACTGCAAGAGATCTATAAATAACAAACTATAATAAGCCACTTGCCTTCTTACGACTCCAATTTGCGTAGATGGTGTGCCATAAGACGCTAGCCATAGAAATATCCACCGGCTAATGCGTCATCCACGCTTCACTAGATTTTTATGGGCGTGGCCAGTCAGTCAGCTTGGCTCGAATCGATAGCAAGTGTATAACAATTAAAATGTTTAGGTAAAGTCGGTCAGAATTACAAGATGCGGGTGCTCCAATGACGTTGGTTGTGTTACGAGACCCTGGCCCAATAAAGGCTCTTTTCTCGTCTTTATTGCATGCCAATAAAATGTATAATTCCGTACATTTCGTAAGTTAAAAACATTGATTTAGTTTTCCAGAGAGATGTGAGAACGTGCCTAATTAGGCCAATACTTTAACTCACTATTGCTGAGTATTGTAAATTAAACTTAGCATGGGTAAAATTTATTAAATTTTTTAATATTCAGCTATATATATGTTAAGCTTTGTTTAAAATGGTTATAACATAGTTTTAAAATAATAATTCTTATTGTAAACCTTTGTTAAAAAACGCGGATTCTGTTATATTTTCTTAAGTATATTCTTTTATCCAAATCTTGAAGCTTTTATTTTGAATACAGCTCCAATCCTAAAAAAGTTTCTCATCTCGTTTTAAAATAATTTATTGAAAATACTTATAAAATGACTCTTAAAATTCGTAATTATTCATATGAAACCAGATAAGAAATGTATACTAGTGAAGGCAAAATTTGTTGAATTAGTTCACTGACTTCAGCAGTTCAATTCTTTATACGGCAATCGTCGCTAATCGATTTAGGCTTCATCAGCGTCATCATTGTCAAAGCAGACAGTAAAAACAGAAAAATGTGGATGCAGGGGGATGAAGGGAAGGGACCCAATTCCGCTCACAATACTGATCCAGAAAATACAATGAAATTGCATTTAAATGGCCATAAATCTAAATCAACAAAGTGACAATCGCAAATAAAAAACGAAATAAACCCGATACGAGTTCCAAGTGTGCATATGCATATGCTCATGAGCCGCCAGACAGGCAAATGACCCACAAAGTAGCCGCAAAGAAAAAACAACAAGCGCGGTACATTCGAACAAATGTAAATCAAATATGGCGACTCTCGATATTGGCAAACAAAAAAAATCAGAAATTCGGAAATCGGGGAAACGGGGAAAGGAGGAGAAATGTGAGGTGGAAATAAGCGAATGGGATCCGCACCCACAGACTTTGTACCACTGTGCCCGCGAGTATTTAACCTTGAGCCGGCAACTGATTACAAAATTGCAACGATAACTGCCACTGACCCCATGGCAAAGAAAATAAAATGAAAAGAGTGCCGGCGCTGAGCGGTAAAATGGGAGAAGAGAGCTGAAGAAAGCAATCGCTTAATTCTGCCTTGATAAGTCATCGTCTTAGCAGTTCCCAGTTGGAACAAACAGACGACCGACCGACCGACCGACTGGCAAGACAGGCATATTTTGCATTTATTTTGTTTCGTTTCCGCCAGATGTTGACACGAAGACTGCGGAAGGGGGCGGAGGGGGTGGAGTGGGTGGAGTGGTTAGGGGGGGTGGAGCGAGTGGTAGGTGGTTAAGCAAATAAAAGCGATTTGGCTTGGTCCGCAGCACTTAACGGAAATTGAATTTGAAATACAAATAAAATAAATTCACTGATGGGACTAGTTGACATTTCCGTTCAAAATGCGTAATGGTATTCAATAGAAAGATTATTATTTTAAAAATAAGTAAAATCAATAAGTTTGTTTAAAGCGACAACTAAATTGGCTATGCCACAGCTATTATTTTGAAGGTACTACTGTTTAATATTGGCTATTATCAGATTTTAGATCCCAAATAAACAAAAATGTTAATTTATAATAATATTCTATTTGATGGTAACCCTTTTTCCCATTTTATTAAAATAAGTGGCTAAATTACTTTTAATATTGCTTAATATATTTTTTTGTGGTATTTTTTTGTATTTTGATTAATATAACAATAACAATTGCTATTTTCAATGCGTTCAAATAAAAGTCAACTAGATCATGCCTGCAAAGGAGACCAATAATGGATGATCAATACTTTTCAACTAACTACATTGCATAACTACACACCCTGCAACTTGGCCAACTGCTCGGTGGTCATAACAATGGGCAGCATCTGCTCGGGGCTGCTGGGAGCTATCAAATTTGGATCGGCAATCGGGCCCATGTAGCACTTGCGCATCTTCAGGTACTGCAGCCAGACATTCAGCCCCTCCATGGAGTCGAGATCCGTTCTGCCGGCATTATGCACATGGAGACTCTCGTTCACGAACACCTGTCGTGTGAGGTGGAAGTGGCTGTTGGTGATGTAGACGTTGGACTGGGCTGGCCTCGGCTTCTGCGCAAAAAACATTAGATTACGTATCTAAATTGGACTTGTCTCGAGGTCAATTTGATCTGCTTCTCAAAATTCTCTTACCTATTATATATGAAATTGTCAAAGTTACCGTTTGGTTTTTCATAGTATAATAACCATATTGATTTGAAAAATTTTAAAATCTTTAAATTGTTTATAAATTTTGAAAAGTTTAAACTAAATATTAAAAAGTGTGTTTTTTAAGAGAGATATTCGTTGGGAAAAATTGGATTTGTAGACTTGAGAAACAATCAATTGATTGATCGCATAAATATTTAAATTTGACTTCTCTCGAGGTCAATTTTATTCTGCTATCGTTTAAAAAATTGGGTTATTTTTTATGAAGTACCTTTAAGTCTTTTAAACTAACATCACCATTTAGATATGGCAAAATGTCAAAATTCGGTTTAAGTGATTTAAAGATCCTTTTAACTAGGATAGTTTGCTTATCAAACGAGAAATTCGATGGGAGAGATATTTGTGAAAGGATTTTGGCGATTTAGAACAATATCAATTTGACCCTCATTTCCAAAAGAATTTGGCTGCGTTAACCTGTTCCTGCATCACGGATCGCATAAAGTTCTCGCTGATCAGGTGGATGTTGCAGTCGCGCAGGTCGTTCATCACGCGCTCCATATTGAGGTTCTTTTCGCGCAGCTCCCGCACCTGTGCGTCCAGCTGGCGCTTGTCCTCCTCGTAAAGCTGCAGGGTCAGCTCCCACTCGTTTTTGATCGAGCGGACGTCGCACCATTGCTTCTGGCCCAGAAACTTTTGGCCAAGGAGGCGCTCGGAGAGTTGGGTCAGCTTGGACAGGACGTAGATGCAGGCGAAGATCCACAGGAAGTTCACGTACATGTCAAAGAAGTTTCTACCGCTGCAGCTCTCGTCTTTGCCTTCCTCGAATTCCTGCATTCCCAGTTTCGAGGAGCTATCCCACATCAGTTCTACTACTGTGAGGTTTTCCATACTTGTTATTTTCGTGTTTATGTAGAGTTTGCTTGTGATAATGATGGTGGAATCACGTATAAATTTGTACAGTTTGAAGTCTTTCCATGAAACTGCTTTCGAAGCCTGCTCGAATGGAGTTAATTTTAATTGCAGAGGCGGGTCAATAAGCACGTGGCTAATAACGCTTGGTTAAGCTTTCGTTTTTCTTCTGGATATTTTCAATGATTTTTTATTAACATATTTTATTTCATTGTAATGTATGGATTGTATCTCTTTTAGTATTCAAAACATAGTTTATACTAAGACTTTTTAAAACTCTATAGGAACAGGAGAAAATAAGGTGAAAGTAAATAAAATAATGTCTTTCACGAATTCCTTTCTACGAATCTCGTGCCATGTTGAGAGAAACGGCGGCAAATAAATGAGAGATTGGCGAATTGACTTAATTACAATTTTAAATTAATTTTAAATAAATCTCACTCCCAAACGATGCTCCCTTCAGAGTTCCCCTCTTCAAATTTTGTTTATTTGGGATAATTTTATTAAGTGGTCTGTCTACGAAATTAGGTTTAATTTTGTTACTGTCATGAATAGCTCGATAATTGTATTTCATTTGATTTTCTACTTTTAGTAGAGGGACGGTTATGGTAAATTTTGATACTCTCAACGGAAAGGTATACAAGTTTTTTAAAAAAGATATATTCGGATTTGATATAAACATATTTTTACCTTAAGTATAAATGACCAAATCGAGGTAAAAATAGCTTTGACAGATTTTGAACATACAAAAAATATAAATAAAATATTGTAAAACTAGACCACCATAAATTTGGAATTTAAATATTTCGAATGTACATTTACCAAATCATTTGTATCTTTAAACCAAGGATTTTGCGATTTGTCAACGATTCGGGAACACGTGTACTGAATATATCAGCAAGGATATTTCTGTGCTACCTTTCTCTCTCCAAATTCCATTTTTCTTTTTCAAAGGTTATAATTATATTGTCGGCAGTGGGTATGTGCGTGTGTCTGTCGGGGTTTCCCACTTTGTTGACTTAATTAGGCAAAAACTCGGCGCTAAGCCAGAAACCGAAATGAGTAAGAACCGCAGCAACTGCGTCGTGGCTCGTACAATGAACTTTCGGTGGGCGAACGATTATTCACATAAAACACCTACTTGCGAATGTGTGTATGCATTTCAAGAGTGCAAATGCGACATCTGGCTGCCTAAATTAGTTGCTGGTGACAGATCGCTGGAATTTGAAACAAATCGCGCGTTCATTGTTCATTGCCTTCGGAGGCAAACACGAATATTGAAATGTCTATTTGATTAAGTCTTTTTGTTTTTTAACAAAAGCGCAATTAATAAGCAACTGGATAAGGCAAAATTAATAATTAACAAATCAAAATTCAGAAGTATGGTCATTTGTTTGTAAACTAATAACGAGTAGTGTTTAAGATGTATCTAAACAAAGAACTAGTAGACTTAAACAAACAACCCCCGCAAAAGAATTCAAGTTCAAGGCAAATCAACTTTGGAATAAGAAAACAAAATTAACGAAAAACCAAACAGTGAGAGCATTGTGCACTAATTAATTGTTTGACATGCATACAAAGTGGTGCGACAGCAGCGCAGCAGACTTCACACTTGATTAAATATGTGCAATTTAAAAATAATTTACACAAGTTTGCTTTAGTTCAAGGGGGTGGCCCTTTGGGGGCTGTGTTGTGGCAAGTGCGTGGCTATTTCTGTAACCAGTAAGCTTTTCATCGTCCAACGCTGTCAGCTGCTAACTGGAGCATCAGTTGCCCAACCCCCGGAAAAAGTAGCAGCGCGTGTTGCACTTACATTACCCCTCCACTGCCCTCTACTACTTACAGTTAAGCCAGAAATGAGTTGGAATTTGCGGCGGCGGCAACAAGTGCTCAGTTTTCCCCCACCCCCAGCCCCTCTGAATGCTTGATGAATTTTTGTTTTGGCCGTTATTGCGTTTCTATTTAACTGTGCAGGAAATCGTTATCGATAACTGGCGGGACAAGGGCACGCCCATCATAGACGCTCGTCCTCTGCTTAGTATGCAATCTGGGGGACCGGCTGTCAGTGGGCATTACGATCAGAATTGCTGGCACCCTGGAGGATGGTATGCCACACATTCATATCAACCAACATTAGGAAATCATTTGTGGGTGTTCGAATGCCAGCAACGCCTCGAATTGTCACTTTGAATGAAATAATGTCACGCACGTCAACATAAATAACAACAAATTATAATATTCGCATGCAACATGAATTAGGGATATACAGTGCGTTTCGGTAATGTAAGGGTATATTAACTTAGGAGTAACTTAGGAGTAAATCTTTAAACAAATTTTTTAAAAATATTTGTATATTTTGATAAATTTCTATGATTTCAATCCAGAACTATATTCCAGAAAAAGCTAATAATTGCATTCTCATTAACTACTTATTTGTTTGGTCCAATTAACTTTTATTTTCTAAGTCTTATATTAGGTTAGTTTTGAAGTGTCAATTTATCTCGAATTAGATTTATGTAACTCAATGTATAGCTGCAAACATTTGGTTGTCTGATAGCTTAAGCAATCGGACTGGCATCAGTAAATTATTTTAATAAAAACTCAGACAGAGCTAAATATCGACACAATTGCAGCATTCTTCTTTGACTTTTTGACAATCTGGTGGACAAGCTCAAAAACCTCACGAATAAATAATGTTTGGGGGGTCTGGAATACAGAAGCTCGATTTAAATAATCAAATCAAATGTTTGTCTAAATATCCTCCACCAACTGCTGACGGGTATTTTAACGTTTTTTTTGTCATGTATATATACTTAATTTAACTTTTCATTTTCGTAGACAGCCCGTCAAGTGTCGGTTTGCAATTTTCAAATTCAATTTGCATTTCACATTCATGTTTATGTGCCGTCACTTGCGCGGGCGAATAATAAAGATTTATGTGCCCTGTTCAGAGAGTTTCCCAGCGCCAAGACTTGAATTGAATGGAGCCTGGAGCCTGGATAATTCCTCAATCCATTCCTCAATACCTCTCAAAACCGAAACCGACTCCCCACCCTCTTTCTGTATTTAAAAAATGCAAATTAGTCTGACTCTGTCTGGGTTAGGGAAATTGCACGCTTGACAAGCGTGAAACGCTTAACTCAGTCAAGGTTTTTCCGCACCCAACAAAAATGTGAAAAAAATATGACGATAAAAACAAAGCAAATGCTGAATATGTGTTAAGCGAATAGCTGAGAATTATTGCTAATTTCTAGTCAATGAATAGCGTTGGTTAATGAAATCTGGGAGTCAGAAATGACCTTTATTAGGATGAATTTAAAAGGGTGGGTTACCTATAATATATAAAATGTGATATATTTTCATCATATGCTAATTAACAAATTTCTGATTGTTTTTTCTTTTCAGGTGAGTTAATGGTGCTATTTCTGTGTTGATTCTGAATATTCTAGGTAAATACAATTTTTACTTATCAATTTAATACTAAGCGTTCAACAATCCAAACTTCACAAGCCTCTTCCTTTTTATCCAAGGGGCCAGTGCCATAAAGAAATTCGTAAAAATAAATTGCGCTGATAAAAACCAATTGAAATGTCAATATGCAGCAAGAAAAATAACATTCAAACGAGAGACAGAAGTCACAATTTATTAAAGTGAACCTAATGCAAGCTCATAAAAAAAATCAAAAGTATAAAAGAAACGAGCTGTCGGTCAATTGAAGGGACCCTCCGGATGGGGACCAAAAATGAATTGATAAGAGAAATGCATTAGGGACATTGTCGCACACAGAAGACGACTTAAAGATATGCTTATTGACAATTAAGATAACGTTCTGTGGGTAGTTTTAAATTTTAAGTAAATTTTGAATTTTTTGCATAGAGACGCAATGGAAAAAGAAACGTCTTAATAATAACACACTTAAAAAATTAATTTTTTTTAGTTTTTGTTTATTGTTGTGGATGTTTGTAGGAATTTTATTAATTATAAGTTAATATAATTTTAGAAGAACATTATAAAAAATATAAATGTAGTTTTAATGTTTAATGAAACCTGAACTATTGAGTCTAAAATACTTTTAAATAAGATAAGTCTATAGTTTATTTTAAGACAATGCCCATTACATTTAAACTGAGGATTTTAAGAAATTCATTAAGGGACTTAATCCGAAAAATTTGAAAAAATCGACTAGAACATTAAGAATAGGTTTGGCGAAATGAAGTTCATATTCTCTAAACAACATATTCGTCTGCAAACGCAATATATTTTTTAAGATCTTGTTTTTTTTAAAGAAGTATTGATTGATCGAATTAAAAGCGAGCTTGCAATTCTTACTTGCACTAGCTCACTTTATCCCACTGTGCGCCTGGAAACGACCTTCTCACCACCCATTTGCGGCAGTGCCATGTACCTATATAGCAGTACATACGGTCCGCTCCGGCCGGACAACTATGGGTCTGCCTCTCCTTCGGTCCACCAACTACTCCCATCACCCATTCATAGACGCTTATCGGTAAACAACCACCAATGTTTGACTATTTGCCCACAGTCGCGCGGTGTCTTGTGCCTTGTATTCCTTTTTGCCCACGAGCGGCCTCAGCCCACTTTTGATGTCGTCGTTCGCCCAACCGCCCGACCGACCGACCAACCGCCCGTTCCTCCCCCTTTCAATACAGGCTACCCGCTAACTTCGTCTCGTGCCTTTGACTACCTCAACTGCAAAACGTCGCCGCGCCACTGAACGACATTAAACCTGACTTTGCCTCCTTCCTGTGCCCGCTACCGCCCCTCCGTCTCTTCTTGGTGGCACCCGATTCAAAGTCAAAATCATACCAAAAGGCAAACCGAACCGATCCGATCCGAAGCGAAGCAAACCAAGCCAAACAAGGCAAACCAGACTGGCAAAGAAAATTCAACAAAATAATATTATGTCCATGCACGGAGAAAAAAAACACAAAATAGATTTAAAATTTTTTTCTTTTTTCTTATTTATTTTTTTTTTTTTTAGTTTAGATATTATTAAACGTTGCAGGTTTCTCACCAACATTTTTTGTATCTGTTGATAGAATCAAAATGTTTTTTTTTTATGGGTTTGATACAAATGTTATAAAAGTTTTTTTCACTGTGTGCCTCTGTCGGTGTTTTATGCATCTACAAGGTCCAAGCTGGTGGTGCGGGGGCAGGGTGTTGTGGAGCAGATTGGTGCAGCCTGTCTATGGGCAAGAAAAACAAAAACACCAGGCACCGACAGCAGCAACAACAACAACAATAACTGCAGCAACAACAACCATCGGCAGAGTTGTCGGTCTCTCGTTCAGTGGATTTGTGTGTCTTCGCATAAATTTTGCAGCTTGTGCGACAGGCATGTAGACAAGTTTTTCTCCTTTGTTGTTTCTTTTTTCTAGTCAGCTATCTCGCTCGCCAATTGCCCACAGATACACACGCACACACCACACACACACATAGACTAGATGACTGGAGAGAGGTGCACAGATACATTATGTATCTGTACGCTGCAACAACTGTTGGTTTCGGTTTGAATGGTCTTATCCCATGGGATAAAACGTATTAGATTGAACTAGTTCCGACCCAAGCTAACTGATTCGAATTGGATGTAGGAAAACTATCTTATCTTATCTTATGAGAACGTGTTCTTGACTTCTAATGTTTTTATGGTCATGTAATAGACAGTTATAAGTTAGCTATTGCAGATTTTAAGGTATTTTTGAGGTTTGCTTTCGAAAATCCATAACAAATACAACTAGAAAAAATGTTGTTGTTCAAAGTTATAAAACAAACCAAAAACAATTATTGGTTTTTGTGAAATGTCCTTTGGGTTTTAAGGATTGCTTATTGCATAATAAAAGATTTCATAAATCATTTTTAAGATATAATGACGTACTGGACTTAATTTTCATTATATTAATATGAATCTTACCAAGAGTCAAAACAATGTGAGGATAATCCCCTTTCCTGCCTGTGAAGAGCATAGTCTATTCATTGCAAATGATGCAAGTTTTGACTATAAGACTATATATATCGGTCTTTTTCCATTTCTTTTATTTGCCGGCGAACTACCCCAACAAACGGCATGCACATGACTTCGGTCGACCCCCTCCCTCACGCCGTCAGCCACCTAGCCCCCCTCACCCTGCTCCTCCACCCCCGCAGCTAGACAAACTCTCTCACACACACTTTCAGATGCACATATATATATATATATATAGCTAGACACAGATACATGTTGCACCCATACTCTAAGCAGTTGCTCCAGTGTACTACTGAACTGAGAGTCGTTTGGCAGTCGGCCAAGAAGGGAGGGGGTGGAGAATAGTGAGGGATGGGTAAAGAAGAAGAATGAGAAGAGTGGGGGCGAAAGAGAAGAAAAGGCATCATAGACGCAGTCATGGAAGGCAGCTGTGTTTGTATTGGTATACACACCCAACACAACCAAACAAATAGAGAGACAAAGAGCAAGAGAGAAGACCCCCCTCTTTTACACCCCCGCACCTCCTCCCATCAACCATGTCGTTCCCACTACTCAGCTGTCATTGTTGATATTTTGTGTTTTCATCTTGAACTTTTGTGGTTCAATGTGTCTAGCCAACCCCAAACAGAGCGAAACTCACCACATGCTCAGCGCTGCCGACACCGCCACCGCCACCACCCCCACAAACCCACACCCCTGCACTATTGCCCTTGCATTTTGCCGGCTTTTCTATGCGTATGCGTAGAGAGAGATAAAGCAGCTCTCTTTCGGAGTTGTCTCTCTCGCTCTGGCCAATGCAATTCTCTATTGCATTCTACACTTGAACTTGCCCAGCGTCAACTCAACGTACACATGGACGTTCAATAAACACGTACCGATGGTGGGGGCCCGGTGGCGGGGAGGGGTGATACGAACAATTATCTGCAGCGATGTGTGCGTATCTGTATCTGAGTATCTCGATTCGCTTTGCGCTTACTTTTTAACCACAATGTATTCGAAATGTGCAATTTATACGCCGCCCAACAGACGGCGGCGTTACGTGCATATGTATACGTACTTCATAGATACTTTTGTGGCTGTTGCATGATTTGTATTAGTTTGCTCTGCGTTTTGTTTGCCCTGCTGATCTTCTTGCCTTTCCATCAATTACGTCTCAGCAGTGTCAATATTCTCGTTCGATTCCCGGTGTCTACATTATAGCCGTCTTCAGTTGGTTTCCGTTTGCAACGAATTGGAAGCTGTCCAATTTGTTGAGGCCTAAGGAGAACTTTGTGAGGTTCGATCCGGGTCTATTACTCATTCAGCTGACGTGGGAAAGTATTTTCGGGCAGGTGAAACGTTTGCACTGTCTTGTCTATTAGACCATTGCTACAAAAGATCAACAATTGAAGAACTTAAAAGACCTGGGATTCCAGTTTTGGTTATGTTTAAGAGCTAAGTTTATCTTAAATACTTTTACTTTTAAACTTGCAAGAAGAAAGACAATTGTCTTAACATGACTATTAAAAAACATACTCTCTGCAATATTACAAGATTACTTAAAAGCCAAAAGGTATTTGCTTGGATTGCGTTGAAAACAGCCAAGTAAGCAAACTTTCTTAAAAATAACACCTCGTATAAATAGCAAAGGCACCCTTCTGCTCACCAAAATGTAATTAAACGATTTAATTCGAGGGTTATAGAATACAAGGTGTGAAATTTGGTGGCTCTAGCTTATACAATATATGAGATCTCTCGTTTGCACACGATCAAGAAAAACTCTTTAAATAATAATCTACATTTCCTTACATTATTTTCTTCAATCATGCAAATCAAGAATGTATGCATATACTTTAAAATGAAATCTCCATTCCCTAATTAATATATATAAAATATTTAAGATTTGAGATTTATTGTAATTTTGTGTCAGTTTTATATTAATGGCACTACTAAATACTAGATACACAAATATTAGGGATCAAATGTAAGTGTGTACTTAATAAATTAAGATATTTGGAGCATATTTAATTGCGATATTCCAATACTCGAATCAGTTAATAGAATTTTTTTAAAGTAAGACCTTAGCAACCGAGATATTTTTTCATGATCTCTGAAACGTACTTATACAACTCCAAACAATTTGAGCTCATTGATAACCTTTTGAGAATTGTGTTCATACTGCATACTGCACGTTTTCCAACTGCAACTTTTTCCACCTTGTTCTGCTGCTTTTTGTCCCACTGTACGCTTACATTTTGAATGTACGTGTGAATTTGCACTTGTGCACCCGAAAGTAGCGACAAAAAATCAACGAAAAAACACAACAAATAAGTGTAGAAAACCGAAAATAAAGGCAGCGAGAAAGGAAAGCGACGATGGCACTCACACACGCCTATATTGTGGGCTGCTCACGCATACTCGCCCATATACGCTCGCTCGCAACTCACAGATATAAATACTCACGGATACACAGATACGTAGCGGAGAGCAAACAAAGAGTATCTCACGATTGCATCGGCATTTTTCATTCAAGCCGCTCGCTCAATGTGCCCTTGCATCTGTGTGAGTGAGTACTGCCTGCGCTTCACATTTAACTTTAGCGCCGATTCCGCTTTATACTCTCTCTCCACGTGATGGTGTGCGTGCGAGTGAGAGTATGTGGTGAGTTCGCTCGTCGACTGAGCGACGCCGACGACTTGGAGGTGGTTTGCCACTGGGAGAATTTCGCGTTTAACATTCTGCTCGTTTCACTCATTGATTTAGTATTTTTTTGGACTTTGTTGTTAACGGTTGTTCGCTCGCACGTTCGCCGTCCGATCGCGTTCGTCTAAATACAAGATACAAAACACAGCACACACGATTCGAAACACAAAACCAACCAGAACGGTTTCCCCAAAAAACACCGAACGTTTTAAAACAAAAAAAATCACAAAATGTTGCAACCAAATGAAATACATGTTTAAATCGCCTATATACACACACACACCTCTATTTATGAGAAATTGTTAGAAAGTCCCAAATAATACCAGTCCCCTCTCATCAACAACAAAAACAACAAGTGCAATTCGTCGGCAGAAATTGAAATAAAGTGCAAATGCATTGTAGCTGAACCTCAGAAAATAGGAAAAATAAGTAATGAAGAAGGCGGAGGAAATAGTTCTTTAAATAACGCAAATCGAGAGCATATATTCATATTTGTACAGATATTATATAGTGGCGCTGCATAGTGCAAATCGCGGATGAGGGAATTCGTCGAGCCCGAAATGTAAATAGGAAAAATTCCCAAAGCAATTCGACGGTGAAAGCAAGAACAAACGGAAATCGAAACAAACAGAACTCGAAATCTAACATCAACAAAAAAAAACAAGCGACGCACAGACGTTAAGACTCTCGTCTAGTCGCCGTCTGTGGAACGCACACCCCCACCTCCCCGTGGCAAGGAGACGGAGTCACCATCACCATCCGCATCCTTAATATTATTATTATTATCTCGAAGATAGTGCGCGAGTGTGTGAGTAAGGGATTTGTGCACTGGATCCCCGTTACGTTTGAATAGTGAAAAGATATTTACCAAAATTCCAAATAGTGCTTCGGCAACTGGAATATCTCCCATTCAAGAACACAGTGAGCCCATGGATACTTGTGGATTAGTAGCAGAACTGGCGCACTATATCGATGCATATGGTGAGTGTGGGCACCTGGGAATCCAATGAAACCAACCGACTCGTTTTCCATTACAACATTTTGTGGTCAACTGCTTAGCGATAGATGTGAATTGAGCAACAAGTTCGCCATACGGAAAAGGAAAACATATTCTGATTTTTTTCTACCCTAATGTGTTTGTCTTGGCTCACTTGTCACCTCGTGTGAGCAAAGTAAATTTCCATTTCTTTTTCGTCCAGCCGAAATGAAAACTACATTACCATGAGGCCTTTTCAATGCCAACATACACATAGCATAGAAATAGAGGGATACAAATAGCAGATACACGCATTATGATGTCCCAGAAAGATACACATGTTCGGGGATGGACGTTCGATTGGTAATACATTAATTATTGTCATGACAACTGACAGACGGCCAATTAAAGAGTCAGCGCTGAAAATTGTAAATTTCGCCTGCGTAAACATAAATAAATATGTATCGTTCGGGCACTACAGCTCATCGGTGCAGGGGAATTTATATTGGTCTAGGCGAAGCACTTGACTGCGTAATTGGCATGGATATCCATAAATTCACTCGCGTATGTTCAAGTGGGCATTGATTGTCCTCAAACAGCCGATTTACTCTGATTTACACAAATAATCTGTTGATGGGGTTCAAAACAGTGTAAACAAATTTGATTTGTAGGAGTAGGTTCGAGAACATTTCGATTTGTTCAATTGAATGGAGTTCGAGAGGTAATTTCACTAGTAAATCTGGGAATTGGGAATCATGTTTTTTATTTACCCCTGTTCTAGTGCTACATGTTCATAGTCAATTTTTTTTTAGAAAGTTAAAAATTAGTTTCAATTTGAGACAGAATAAATGGGTTTTTTTTACTTTCTAAATCAGTGATTTTCTCTTTTTGGTAATTCACCGAGTTTAAATATTTCCTTTGAACATATTTTAGTTTGACTTTAATGATTTTTTTAGTCCGAGGAGGCCTAGGTAACAAACATAGGTTGTTCATTTTAACTTTATTGCTCCTTTCTCCATTTTGGACAAAAAATAATGTGTACTGCGACATATTAAATGATTATAAAGAGAGTCCTTTGGGTCTTAATTTTTTGTAGCCCTATTTTAGGCGCCTAATGAGGTATTAGGTAACAGCGTGACTTGGGTTTTGGCTACAGCTCTGAAGCAAAGTCCCCGACATTAGTTAGACTCTCCCACAATTAATTTGTCTCTGCCCCCCCGTCGCCACTGCCACCCCGCCACCCGTTGACCCTCGTTTCCTGGGCGGGACTGGTTAAAGTTTCGACTTCTTGGCTCTTTCTTTTTTGTTCTCGTCCCTCCTCGCGTCCCTTTCTCTACCGCTTTTTTGCACATTAAATTATTCGCTATTTCTCCTTTGCTACACTTTCTGGACACTAAGCAAACAACACAAAAAAGTTACTTGTTTCCTATGGCGTCGACATCGTCATCGTCTTCGCCTCTGTTGTTTGTGTTTTATGGTACATTAAAGTTGGCAAAATGGCAAATTTTAATGCGATTTTATGCAAATATATAGACACATGTATGTCTATACATGGGGCCGAGTGTGTTTTGCGACCCATGCCGGCTACCACGTTGAGTATTCCGAGATTCCAATGTTTTTCGTCTGACTCCTCCTCACTGCACTCGCAATTTCGAGGTTCTGTGCTTAATGGTCGAATTTATATCATTATATGGCACTCGGAAGTTGTTTATGTCCCTTTTCGTTGTCAATTATATCAAAAACGAAAACTGTAATAGCAAATATATGCTCCACACCTAACTATGTATATTTTTTCTTTTTAATGGCAAAGTTATAATTTTAAAACCATTGAGATTATGTCTACACAAATTGTAATGCCCCTGGAAAATTGCCGAGCTAATTTTATACAATTAAAAATTGTAAGCCCACCCTTATCACACTATTCATAGCGCATTATAACTATTTCCAAAGTGTAACATGCAAGCACATAAAAACTGCCATTCAACAAGGTTCAATGTAACCTCGGCTGGGGGCCGACCGAATCGATGGGTGCAGACCACTGGGTCATGAGACAGTGCACCACCCCCGTTTTCCCAACCCCTGGGTGGATAGTTTTCCCCGGGGAATGGGAAAGGGAATGGCAAACAGGTGCCATTGTGCTCTTGTGGCAATTGCATTGAGTGCCTTATCTTGTCAGTCCTCTTCTGGATGGCTTTCCTGCCCGCTCGGGACCAAAACCGACTCTTCACCCCCCCTTTTCGCGTATGTGTGTATGTGCAATTAGTAGTAGCCTGCCATATAGCAGTTGAGCTTGGAACGAGTTTAAAGCCCCCCTCCGTCGCTTTTGTGGACTTTCACAGGCCAGCAACAAACTCAAGCTGTCAACACTTTCGCAGACAATTGACGATGACGATGACGAAGATTTTCCATGACTTTCAACATTTTCCCTAGTAGATGCTACAATTTTATTGTTGTTGTTGATTAGCCGAACAACGCGAAAAGATACTTGTAACACATACCAAAGCTTAAGACTTAATACTTTGCTCAGCTTGACTCTGTGTTTTTTTAAGTTGTTTGGCGTCGTCAGACTTTTATGGTAATGACCTCGGCATTGACTTTTTTTTCAAATATCTGATAAAATGTATGACTAATGCTAAAAAATGACAGCTAATGCCCTTTTTCGTTAGGTTTTTTTGGCCACAATTTCTCGCCATCCAAATGCATTTCAATCTGTAAAAGCAAACAACTACCAAGGTCGGTGGTCGGTATTGTGGATAAGGGAAGTTTTCGCATGCTTTCCTAAGATCTTATCTTTCGACATTTGTTTGTCACACTACTTTGTCATTCCGCCAAAAAGAAGACACATTAAAGTCTTCTTCGCTGCCGAAAAGGTCAGGCAATCAGTCAGATCCACATATGCAAATGGTATTATCGATTATAAATGCAAATCGTAGACGGCACAGAATGGAAAGAGACAAACGCCGCTTAACCGGAAAAGGAAATGATTAAAGCGCATTTTTCGAGCCGGGCCAATCAACCTCAACCAGTTGTCCTAAACTTTGGGGCGAGCAGTGACGCTTCGCTTGGGGTTTTTTCCTCATACCTCCTAATATTTATTATTGTATTTATTGTTAGCTGTTCGCTGCTTCAAGGCTGTCTTACTCGTATTTTTTTATAAAATACCCAAAGTTCTATATTGATGCCTGCAGTCTTTTATTTATTAATTTGTTAGGCTATTAATTGAAACGCGTGCCCTGGCACATATTTGCGGTTTAAGTGCTCTGAAAAGGCCGACAACGGGCCAGTGCCAAATGCTATAAATCTTTTTCGGACTATAGCATTAAAAAGTTTCTATCGCTATTTTGCTTTTATTGCTAATTGATTTTTTGGCCGACAGAATTGAATAGAAAATGAGAAATATTCTTGGGGTATCCTGGAAAATTAGGCATGTGCAATAGATCTGCCTGGGAATGAGAACAGCTGGAGGGATACTGATGGGAAATAATAATGTGGAAATGTAGGTGCCATGTTATAGCCGGCTTATGGAAAGTGGCTAATGCTTTTCTAAATAGAAGTTCCGGATTGTTATAAACTTAACTTAAAGATGGATTAAAATAATTGTACAGCGAAATAGCATCCAAAGAAAAAGTTTGTTCGAACTCTATCTGCTTCTTTTGGTTTTGTCTTAAGCTAAATATTGGATATGTGTCAATTGAATGGCACCATTTTTCATGTTTATCCAAATCAGCAAACTTCAAAAGAAAACCACCAACTTAATAAAGTCAACCTTAAAAAAAAACAACCAACTGAATTCGCGGAAAGTAAAGCTCAACCTGTTTTGGGTTGAATTTTGTTGTGATTGGTAGTGGGAGACAGAGATAGGTAGATACCGAGAGAAACAACCGTTAAGTTGTCAGCGGTTTACCTGATATATGTATGTACGAACTTATCGCAGATTCGCACATACGAATATTAAGTTTTACTTTAGCGTCTCTTGAGTTCGACTTGTTTGCTCAGACCTTAATCTCAATCAGAAATCAGGGGAGACAAGAAATAAATCCGAAAGAAAAAAAACAAGGTCAACCTTAGAATTCAATGTTGGTAGAATAGTTCCATAAAAGTTTTCCCTTAAAAGCCTTTCTAGGGTCCAAAAGGGTTTTCAAAAATCACTACCTGATAATCAATATAACAATTTTTAATTTAGCCTTAAAACAGTCAAAGCTTTCATTAAAAAAACTTAGATGGGATCCATTGGAATTAAAGATATCCGAAAGAAGTAATAACATTACGTAGTCAAATGATCATTAGGTTGTAAAGATGTACAACTTTTTTTTGCTTTAGAATAGAGAAAATTGAGAGAGGTTTATTTTATTATACAACGTTTAATTTAACTTTAAAATAAGTAACTGCGAATAAATAGAGATTCGAGCTGGAAGACATAGTCTTCAATGATGACCATCATTAGGGAAAGAGGTTTCCCCTTGTTTTTTGCTCTCGCTTTGCTCCTCTTTGGCAGTTTCCCTATTTTTCTTTCACAGAACATTAGTTGAAGCCTTTTGGGTGCCCTGAGGCCCATTATCATTTGGTTTTCTTTTCTTTCTTGGTAGGGGTTCCTGGGAATGTGTCGCATATGTTTTCTCCATTCCGCCCACATGTTAGCCCTCCCATTTCCATTTGGACTCCTCAGCAAATGGAAATCACGCGGCGTTGGCTCTACGTGCAGGAAAATAACAGCAGGAAATTAAAAGGATCCGCTCACAGGAGTATTCGTACTTGTTTTTGTGTGTGCGAGTGCCCTGATGGGGATTTGTGTTTGTGGGCCTATTATACCTACTGGACAAGCCGACGGCGGATGTTTAATTGTTTTCGCTCTACAAGAGCAGGAGGCTTAAATGTCCACCACCCACCGATTTCAGTAGCGTGTACAGCAGTTGTTGGCGTTGTCGCACTGTTAATAAAGTTTATTGCATTTGAAAACGTTGTTTTGGGCAGTTGGTGGGTAGGGAAAGGACATGGGAAGGGTAGA